TTCCTGTTAATCGGCTAAATTTCATTAAACCGGCGTTATAAACGGCGGGGCGCGCAACGAGATGAACGTTATAAAAATCGTATCGACGACGCGGCTCCTCCGTGCACGTAGGGAAAATCGATTTGCTCAATCGGCAGCCGACAAAGCAGCGATAATAATAAAACGGCTTTTAATATCTTGGCAATTTTCTAAAACCGTTCACGTCTTTTCACATGCCGCTGAGCTCGAGATATCCGTGAACGCAAGCAAGTAATAACCACACGCGCGTGCAATGGCAGCAACGTTGAGTGCAACGCGAGATATAACCTATAGAGGGCTCGCGACGAATCTTCCGACAATATCTCCGTCCTCTTCGCACATTCGTGGAAATCCCTGGTATAGACGCACGTATGTGTGCACGTTGACAGTTGAGCCGGGTAGAAATGCCCGAGACTATGCATCGTGTAGCGAGTACGGTCGAGAGCTGTCAAGTGCACGCCGGTTGGACTGGGTCAACTACATTCGTGTAATTCGCTCTCTCCGATCGGTGGTCGATCTTAAGGCCGAACAGAAACGATCCAGCCGAATAGAACAGGCCGCATGACAGTTTGCGAAGAGACGCGTGAACCAGGCGCGAAACGATGGAAAAAAAGAAAAAGAAAAAAAGACGGCACACCCGATATTTCGATCGAGACGGTATGGCAGCCACGGGTCGAAACAAGACAGGGAGAACAGACCGGAACGGAACGGAACGGTACTGCACTGCATTGCATTGCACTGTACTGTACTGCACTGCACTGCACTGCACTGCACGGCACGGCGCAGTTATCATGCAAAAGAGATCACACCGAAAGTACCGAGAGAATGCCGAGTAACGGCTTTACGATCCGGTTAAAAACGAGAATCACAAGGATTATTTCCGAAGTGATTCTGTGAGGAGGAAAAAAAAAGAAAAGAAGAAGAGAGTATGGTGGACAAACGATATTTGGAACTTACCCAAAAGTAGCAGCTTAAGTTCCCGCCTGGCATCTCGTTTATCCTTTCGGAGTTGCCGCTCGATCTCCTGATTGATTCGTTTCTGCTCCCTCGCCTCTTCCGACAGGCAGCACGCCATAGCTCAGGACGGCAGGATCCTCGACGGATGGAGGAGGAAAAGAGGAGAAAAATGAGGAGGAAGAGGACGAGGAGAAGGAGGAAAAGGAGGAGGAGGGAAGAGGAAGAGGAGGGAGGGAGGAAGGGAGAGAGGGAACAAGCGATTTGCGGTGGTGGCGAGCGATTGCCGAGCGGCCGAGGTTCGTCGTAGACAGCAGCAGGCTCGACGGCACGGTATCGTCGTCGGGCCGATATTACCTTGCCACTGCGAACGAGCGACGACGTCTCGTCGCCGTCCTCGTGGTACCCTCTTCTCTTCTTTCTTCCCTCTCGTCCTGACACTGAGCCGATGATACTTCTTTCCCCAATGATCGTCCGCACCACCACCAGTACTACCGCCACTAGCACGATTCACCACCACTTTTTTTCGTCCGCAGCGACGGCGACGGCGACGGTGACGGTAACGACGACAACGTACAAGACGGCGACGTACAAGTGGACGTAAACGTGGACTCGACGAACGCGCGTCTCCGGAATCCCCGTAACTATATCAACGATGTCGGCACACGCGGCGACGGAGCGGTCCTGGTAGGGCTCGACGACGCCAGCGACACATCAACACATGTACGCACACGCACGAACCTCGACCGGTAGCTTCTCTCTTCTGTGCTTTTCCTCCTGTCGTTTCCAATCTTTTCCAATCTTCTCTTCTCCCCCGATCACACACCGGCAGAGAGAGAGAGAGAGAGAAAGCAACGTTTCTTCGCCCGTTTCTCTGCGCCTCCTCTTCCTCTTACTTCTTCCTTATTCCGGACGTGTTTTTTCCTGGACAGGCGCGCGCTCCTGGTTCCCCGATCTTTATTCTCCTTTATTCACGCACGCACGCACACGTTCTGCCTGCGACGAAACGTGAAACGCACTCGCGAGAGACGTCGAGGAAGCGGGGGAGACACGCGCGCACACGTTCTCAGCCTTCGGAATCGCGGCGCGATTTCGACGAGATTCTGGTGATAGGAGAGCGAGGCCCGGTTGGATCGAGATCTAGAGTCCCGACTGTACTCCGTCGAATCTCGACCGTCGGTCCCTGGGTCCCCCGCTGAACCCGCGTACTACTCGCGAGAGAGCTCTCGTACGGCTCGTTCACTCGTTCACTCGGTCCCCGGCGCGGTTGGGTGTGGTAACCCACCGGCGCTCTATCTCCTTCTCTTTCGGCCGCTCTCTGTCTCTCCCTTACGCACTCTTTCTCTCTCTCTCACACATACACACACACATACACACACACCCCCTCTCTGTTTCGTTTCGTTCTCCTACCCTATCACATACACTCTCTCTCTTTCTTTCTCTCTCTCTTTTTCTCTCTTTCTCTCTCTTTAGGGTACTCTTTCTGTACCGCACACGCGACGAGATGGATTCGCACTGAATATGCACCGTGTGCGCACACACGCAACCTATACGCGACGTATGCCAAACGACCGAACGCGATTACGAGAGGTAACGTAGACGGAAACAACGAACCGAGGACGACAGGATAGAAGACGATGACGAGGTCGTCTGCTGTTATTGCCGCTGCTGCACGAGCGCCCACACCTCGAGCGGAGCAACTCCTCCTGCGATTCGCGCCGCGCCCGCTCGGTACGCAGCCTTTTATCAACCCTCGGTCGCTCGAGAATCCTGTTAGACCAAACCAGATTGGCGAAGCCCCGGCACGGTAGGTCGTCGTATAATGGCCTGTAGGCGCGGGGGCGCGCACGTGTCCGCTAACGAGATTAAAATCGGCGAGAAGGAGGAGGTGCGGCCGCCATCCGCCAGGGAGGAGGCACGGAGAATGTAACAGCGCCGCGGCGTTTCGGATATAGGTTATACCCGTCTCTGTACAACCGACCGATTCTGACGGTTCGCAGCGCGACACGACAACCACCGTCACTCCTCGTACCGAGAGATCACGCGCGCACTCTCACACTCTCTCTGTCTCTCTTTGTCTTCCTCCCTCACTATCTGCTCTCTCTCTCTGCTCGTCTCTCTTTTCCTTCAGTATTCTATTCGCCGGGTCACTCCCGAATATCCTGCCTTCTCCTCGTATTTCTTTCTTTTTTTCTTTCTTTCTCTTTGCCGCTGTTCTTATTCCCTCGTTCTTTCACGCCGGTACATTCAAAACGAACCTCGCGATTTTCCATTGATTCCTCCCCGTCATCGAAAAGTATACTATATGTGTGTACACTTTCTTGAAAGAGCGTCAGAGTATCTCGCGTGAATGCACTTTGTACGGCAACAGACGATACGCGTGTCTATTTGCTAACTACTGAAAATGCACCGCTTTCAAATTATTGCGGGGCCGATCGTCGATTGTACGTTTGCCTGATAATAGCCGCGCTATTTCGATTGAAAGTAATTTCATTTCCAGAATATTTGGAAATTTTCGTCGATGATTTTATGATAACATAAGACACGAGTTTATAGACGTTAATTTCGGTAATGTATGCACATCGGTACTTTTTTACGCGCATGTTAAAACGTATATTAAACGTATTTTAAACATATGCCAAACATGTTTTTAATGCAAACGCATTGATACAATTTACCTACGTATTCGATGTACGTAACATATTCGTAACAATAAATTTAATAGTTTTATTAAGATTGTTTGAAAAATACTTACAAAATTTGAACAATTAGTCACGTTTCTTTCGTTCGTATACAAGTCGTGTATAAAGTCAGTTCCAAAGTAATAAATTAATTTGTAATAAAATTATGTAAGATTCGATCTTTCCAATATAATTATGTACTTTGAGATATTTATTCAAATAACCTTAAAGTAAAGTTTTGTACGCTAGATGGCGCGTAAGAGGCTGCTTGGTTCGAAATTTAAATTGTATGTTATTTAGTCATCGTGTGATTAATATTTTTCAACTTTCGTTCTACATTCTTTTTTTCCTTCTTTAATTTACGATAAGTGAATTAATTTTTAAATTCTTTCATTTAGTTACAAGATTTACTCTTATTAAAATGTAAAATACTATTGATTGATTAAACAACGTATATAGTAATCCATTTACACTACAAATAATTTGGAAGTACCAAGTAATTGTTATATATTTTAGTTTCATTTTTATCTGGAATATTATGAATTAAGAATATTTGTTTTTATTTTTATCTGATTAATAATCATTTGAATATAATTAATTAATTACTTATTATTTGTTAATTAATATTTAAATTAAACATTAGTATATAAGTAGTAGTTCATATTAGTATATGAACAAATTCAAAATTTAAATAAATGAAAAATAAAAAACACATATATGTATAAATAATGTAAAAAAATTTAGTGTTTAAAATACATTTCTATAATTCAAATTTCAATGGCATGGTCAAACCTTAGCATCGTTTAATAATAGGATTAGTGTCATGATATAAGGTTTCATGAAATGTTTAATTTCTATAGATCGTATATATACATTTCTTAGATTGAAAACCAAAAGCAATAACCAGAGTACCAATACTATCTATTTTTTTATTTATTCATCATCCACGCGGTTTATTTTACACTTTTGGCACAATTTAGACTTGGATGAATCTTCAAGTTGGGAAATTGTCACTATCAAACATATAATTTTATTATGATGAATATAAATATTGTATCATACTTTTTATTTATATACTTTATGTTTTTATTACCTGTATTCGAACTTTTTGTGTAAAGCCTTTCTCCAATTAATTTAAATAATGCTAAAATTTCATTATCATCGGTTGTATTGTTGCAAACAGTTTTAATTTTTTCAAAACCTTCATATAAAGCCATTAAGCGTCTGTAATATTGTTCACAATTTATGTAATTTTTAAAAAATATTGTAAATAAATTATTTATTCTTGTTTATGCCATACGTGCTTATCACTTTTGGTAGTTCCAAGTCTAACATACATCTACTTTGTTGATAGCTATTTAGAATAGTATCATATTGTTGATGTAGTTTTTGCATTTGTGATACAGACAGTGTAAAATTATTAAGGAAGTTTTTGAAGTTTTTTGTTGCGGTATGAAAGTCTTTTTTCCGATTACAATGATTGTTCATTAATTCATTAAAATGTCTTGAGAGAGTTACGTGTTTTGAACAATGTTCCATCAAATCTTGTAGAACTATTAATTTATTCTTCTTCTGTTCTTCTAACTGTCACACCCCATGTTGATAATTGATATAATACATGTAGTGAAATTGTATAAATAATTAATAATAAATTAATACTCAGAAATATAACACACAACACACAATTAATATTAATTGTAAAATAAAATAAAAACTATTCTTTGAATTCTATTAGAGACAGTCATATAGAAATTATAGTAATTTTAACAATTTTTAATCCTTTATTCTATATATATAATGTGATAACTGAAAGAATCTTGATACCTGTTGCAGATGCATTGATAAATGCGTAGTATCAGATTCAAAGTTTATAGAGTAAGATTGAGGAAATGCAAGTAGATGACTAATATTAAGCACTCTGCATGCAGCTAATTGAGATACTTGCAAAGATTGTCCATATTGAACAAGAGCTTCAAGAGCACTAGTACTCAAATTTAAATGTTGTATCAAAGCTGTTTGTTTATCTTCAGCCAAAGCCTCTTCTATTTGAATTCCTGTTAAATTTAATTCTAACTTTTCTCGTATTTTTCCAAATTTTTGACATTTTAAACAATTTGGTTTCTATAAATAACACATATCAATATGTCATGATTTTTTTTTTATCTTAAAGAATAAATATATTAAAACATTGCCTTAAGATTTTGTGATTCAAAAGAACTTAAAGGCCTCATTCTTCCATCATACTGTCTGCCACACAAACAGTAATTTGATAAAGTTTTTTTGAAAGGTGTACACTGATGTGTTATTGAAAATATTGGTAATGATAATCGCGATGGATACAGAGGTTCTTCTTCTTCCGATGTTTGTATGCAGTAGAGAAAAGGTTTATGTAAATTAGAATCACTCCATCCTTTATATTTCTGTTCATAAAATCGTGACATTTTCTATCTTTAAAGAAATTTCTGTTCTGGATACATTAATTTTAATTTCTGTAATTCAAATGCAATAATTTACGTACATCATGAAATCACTTATGAAAAAAAAAATCATATATATATAAATTTATTAATATACACATGATCTTAAAACTGAAACTTTTCTTAATGGGATTTTTTCACTCCTATTATTTCACGGGAAATAATTTTAATGGATTGATATAAGGAAAGTATGTCTTAAGGTTGAGCATTAAACAAAACACATATTTGAATTGTAAACACTTATGTTACAAACCAGTAATTATTTATTATAATCGTCTTCAATTGAAAAGGACAATTAAAGCGATAAATGTATATACGTATTATATTAGCTTATATTAAGGTTATAAAGATATGACTAATTGTTTCGATAAAATAAACAACAAGACATAAAAATGACAAATGATATAACAATTGATTGCTCCACTGCTACACTAAATTTTAAACCTCAGTATTATTACTTAGGTGCATTTAAAATTGTAATCAATGTAAATAATTGTTGTTTCTATGTTACATTAGTAAATAAATGTAACATAAAGAAGATAAGTAGACATAATTATTATTTTTCAAATACATTTTATCGTGTAACGAGATTTCGAAATTATTCATTATAATAACCTTATTAGAGATACATATAATATATCTTGTAGAAATATATTGAAATAGCACATTAAGTGCACTTAATTTATGATATGACGTTTCAATTGTAATTTATGTCTATAATATATTATGTCTAATATTAGCAAACTTGTAATGTATATTGCTTTTACCGAAAGTCAGAAGAACAATATATTTATCCCTTATCTTCTTTAAGTTAATTAAATGCATTTGTTTAATTTTTAAGTAAATTGAATAATTTATCATATTAGTAATATTAATAGATCTACTTCCAAACGATTAGCACTATCAATGTTATTGCTGAAACGTATATAGGTAACTTCAAATACATTTTATAAAGTTGTGTTTTTCATAATTATAACTGTTCTAAGTAATATCAAAATTTGAGTTCACTTGTAATCTAATAATCGCATATATAACATCACATTTTTGAAATACAGAATACTGTATTATTTTGGCACATTTACAGTATATGTTAAAGATATTTTTTTCCAATTATTGCAATGTATACTTAGAAAAGAACAAAATAGAATAATTTATAAATATATACTTGAATAAATATTTTTCATACTTCACTTTAGATTATATATTACATATGATACACAACAGAATTGTATATTTAAATTTTATATTATTCAATGAAACAAAAATTTTTATTATTTATTTATTTGTAGTTGGAATGTACTTGTGTACTTGTTCAAATTATATGATAACTTTAATAATAAATTCGAAATGAAGCATGCTGCGTCATATTATAATGTTGTGATTGTATATTAAATTTATATTCTTGATATAAAATAGAAATTCATATAGAATTTTTATGTGAATTACTAGAGTCTAATTATACTTAAAAACAGAATATATTGATGCTATTGTTTTTATTGTTATTATTATTATTTAAATATTTTTTGCTTTTCAATTACTTTTTCTGTTGGTCCTCTTCATAGAATATAAATATATGTCCGTCCACTATCATTATGATTATCATAACTATGTAATTGTATTGTAACATATGTTCAACGTGTTTTCCTAATATGCACCTACGATATTTGACACATTAGTATATTTGTCTACAGTTTTAATCTGTATATGGGGTTAATAATTAGTGTGACAATGGATCAATCGGTCAACCATAAAACTTTTCATTTATAAACAATCCAACTTTCTGTACGTCTCAGATCAATACCATAAAATAAAGACACACAACTTAATGGAAGCTGAAATCAGTAGCCTTGCACTACTTTATAATCATCTGTTATCATAACCCTATTTGTTACATGAAGATTGATGTAAAATTTTCTTAATAAATCTATTTAACGAATATTATTTAGCGCTACAAATTGATTTTCTTGGACCACTGGCTCATACTAGTTCTATTTTTGCTACAGTGGATATAAGGGCAGTAATTGTAATTTAATTAATGATCGACATTAGATTTTATATATATACCAGAAAAATACTTATTAGTTATTGAAGAAAAATATATTATATAATAAAAAATATAAATAACTTTTTGAAAACAATCTTCAAATATGTATCATTGGTAGAACTTATAATACTCTTTTCAATAGAATTATACAGAAAATTTTGTTATTCTAATATTCTAATTTAAATATAATAACATTTTGCGTTTATATAGCGATATATTAAAATAAGGATGATTAGCTATATTATTTCGTGTATGCTATTGAATAGCGTTGAAAGTTTGGCATGTTATCTATTTTAATATCCTTATTCGAGACAAATTTTAATTTTTCTTTTTTCACAAAGTAAATAAAATCTTAACAAAAGAATGCAGACAGACAATTAGATTTTTAAGATTTTGATATTTCCCTACCAAAAGAGGGCATTACAGAGCTGTCTTAAACATTAGGTTAGTTCTTACTGATAATTTCAGTGGCCACAAAGTTATTCCATAAAATATTCTTAAAATGTATAATTCTATGTACAATTTCATAAAATAATATTAATTTAATATATAAGTTTTATATTATAGTATTGTATGATGTATTACAATATATTATTTAATTACTTAAATATTTCATTTGATTATTAATGATGTGTATCCGTACATTGGACATGGGAATATAACCCCATATTGCAAACAATGAATGTTGGCACAGACAGTGGCTGGGTTAAGGCACTTTGGGGTGCTTAATTTTCCATAGTACCCTCCAGCATAACTATCTCATCACACCCCTTTCCCCTTCCCATTGCCCCTCATTGTATATTTATTATTTATCTCTTTTATATGTATAATACCTCAGATGACTGCGTGACTCTCACTTTTTTAGTATTGTAACTATTCTTAAAATAGAATACGCCGTTTCAGTGAGCATTGGAGTGTAATAGACGAATTTAGTAAAGCTTTCACAGCGGTTTTGTGAAATTTGCTGGGAACATACCCTTTTCATTTGTACCTTCCTTGATGCCCATTAACCAACCTTGTTCCTAGATAAATAAAATATTTCGTTACATTTATTATCATTATCATTATTATAATTTTATCATCATCATCATCGTCATCATCATCATCATCATCATTATTATTGATATGACAAAGAAAATTATATTTCACATTCGCAAGTATGAAAAATGAGAATACAAACCTGTTCTTCTGGATCATCATACTCTATCACACGAATAATATCACCAACATCAAATGATAATTCGTCCACGTCCTCGCGTCTATACTTGTAAGTAGCCTTGACTCTGTACAAAACTCCAGGTGGCAAGTTGTCGGTCGTTGCCCCTACAGAGAAATTGGTACCATTTTCATATTCCACGTCTAAAATAATTGAATCCGCCTCATTAGTCATGGACCTGTGATACAGTTCTATTTAAACTTTAACTTTCATTGATTATATGCAAACCCAAATCAATTGCTAAAATCTCTAATCGAGAAATTTCGATACATAACAGGAGCAAAATTAAATAAATTTTATTTCATTTTTTCAACAAGACCATGCACAAATGGGCAGGCAGCATCAACACAGTAATTTTACATATACATTTGTTACATATTACATATTTCGAGACATAATTTGGAAAATTATTTTATCTTCAGCCTTGAATGGATCGTAATTCTTATCATCTCAAAGTATAAAAACTAATAATATATATGCGTGCTCATATAAATACGTAATAATATAAACGCTACAAAATACTTACTAAATGCAATGAATCATTTAACTATAGCAGATGAAATTCATTCAATGATTTGTATTATCGCCCGTAATATATCATATATAGATATTTAGATAGTGATATAATTTGTAACCAAACATACATAAAACACTTTCCAAAGTGTTCTGTAGGCAATGTACTGTAGATTTAGACAAAATTACTATACTAATCTTTAGCAACGTATTAAACAAATATTCCTTAATTACTTTTATAGAAAAATTCTTATTTGGCAAACCATTTTGACAAAAAAGTTTCGATCGCTGGTACATGAATGTTCATCTTTAGAGAAGACGTAACCGAAGACATTTACTCCCACGTCGCATACTTACCAACTGGAATATCGTACAGCTCTTCTACACGCTTAGATGTCACAATCGTGTTTTGCGGAGATGCATCCTGATTATTGAGAGAATTATCATTGCTGTTAGCATTGCTGTTAGCATTGCCATTTAATTGAGTAGTCGGTGATGTGTTTCTTGCTGCTGGAGCAGACTCATCCACGGCTGTAACATGCAATAAAGCTCACTCAAAACTAAACATTGAGCCACATAATTATGTCTGCGGGAACGTCTTTATGTGGCATAACTACGTTACACTCATGCACAAGATATTAGTACGCAAACGATTCAAACGCACAAAAGATGCGCGTGGACACTTGTATGCATATTTACCTGGTGAAATGTTATTCTGAGCTGGTTGTGTATTGATTATTAAACTAAAACAAGTAAAATTCGCTTCATTTAGTATATTTATATGTGAGTAACTTTCATTCTTCTAAACTGTTCACTTACGCAGAGTTGGCATTTGGTGATTTTGGAGACTGTGGTTCTGTATTCTTCTTCAGCGTGTATGATCCTCTCTGACTTTCGTTGGCCAACTTATCGACGATTGCTTCTAACTCAGAATATACCTAGAATATAAATGTATAGTATTTAAATCACACGAGATTTGCAAAATTTATATATTTATGTACTTATTATTTTATGTTATGAAAATTAACATATATAATTAATTTTATATATTATTTAATAATAATTATTGTATATTATATATTATACATATTAAATACTATATAATAATATAACAAAAGAATTCCAAATTTTAGTGATATTAATAGACTTGTGTATAAGATCTGTGTATAGTTATCTATCTTTTTAAATTTCAAGAATATAGTTTTTAATTAACAAATAAGAATACCTAATTAGCAAACAAAGATTATCTTATTTTCAACTAAATTAATATAACAGAAATCAATGAAATGAATGAAAACAAGTGAAATTAATTATGAAATTGACAAAAATAAGATATAATTTGCACATAGAGACACATTATCAAGAATTTATTACGATCATCACTATACCTTTGCACTTTCAGTATGGAACACTTGTTCAGCAGCGAATAGCGTTTGTAAATTAGTAACGAGGAAAAGAACACGGGAATCGTACAAGGCAGGTAGCTCATCGTGAAGTTCAGAATTAAGTTGTTCGTATGTACGTTTAGCTTCCTCCAGTAGCTCTTTCCCTCGCGACACTTTAAGCTCGTCCCGTTTTCTCGGATTGCACTGTAGCGATTGGAAATTGTGTCTTTGACTATCATAATCCACCAGTTTCCGTCCACGTTTGTCAATTTTTTTCTGAAACAAATATGTAAATGCTTAATGTTTTATAATTGCGTACAATGAATTTCACGTTAATTTCACATTCCATATTGATCTTAATCGTGATTCCAATTACACGTGATAATAAAATTAAGGACTACATTAACAATTTTTGCGTTTAAGTGAGAATAAATGATACACAGTGTGTAGAATTACAGTTGGAAAAATTAAAGTCACAGTAGCAAACAAATAAAAATTGCAATATGGTATTTTTGCAACGATTCATTTATCTTTTAAACGAGAATTTAAATTCGTTTACTGCCATGTGAGACATACCCTCATCTCTGGAAATTGGCTCTGATATGTGTTGAGAGGCACGAGAACTTGATCAGCAAGCTTATGAGTGAAATCTTGCCACAGCATGTCTAAGTTTTGAGCCTGCACGTACAATAGATCGTGGCCAGTCCATTGACTTTCGTAGATCTCATTCAGGGAATCCATGAGCGTTTTCGACGCTGCTTGCACCGCTGTAAATATATACAAACGTTGTATTACATTATAGTAATGATGTGTCGCACACATAGTAGTAATATCTGTGTATTTGAACTGTGTATTCGGGAAAACTGTTCTCAGTTAGACGAAAATATTTATTACAGCCATTTGTAGTAGAATTAACAGCAATCGGACTCGCATCGAAAAAAAGATGAGTATGATTTTTCTTAAATAAATAAATTTTTTTAATAGCATCGTGAAAATTTGTATCCGCAACTTGTTGATCGCTTCTCGCAAAATTATATCCAATTAACTTCTTCTAAAAATTAACTTTCGATAACATGTTTCAAGAATATTTGTAGGAATTTTATAGCATACACCTTGAATCACGAAACAAAATTTATACAATTTTATCATCAATATTCAAAGCCACATGTGATAGATTAACACAAATCTCTATGTTCCACGCAATATGTAAATCATGTGTATGCACAAATTTTTTTGAAAAAGAAAACCATTATTTTTATGAAGAAATGCTTCTACGAAATTATCTAAAGATTAACTGAATGTTATTCTTTCCGATTGTAAGATCTTCCGACAAATTGTTCAAGCAACTAGCATTTCCAGATATTCAATCGATAAAAAGTGTACAGTGAATCTGATTTTTTATCAAATCACTGCGTAACAAACTACGTAACGTCGGAAACGTGTAATTAAATAGCTAAGCGTGACTGAGACGAATATGAAAACGCATGGTTGAAAGTTCCTTTATACTGATTTCTTTATACTTTCCCAGGAAATAGGCTTTTTTTTTTCTTTTCTCGAGAAATGTGCAATTGAAAGGTAATCACTGTATTAACCTACTCTCAGTCACATTCACTTATATTGAGATACGACAATCATGTGGTAAGTAGATAGTGATGAATTCAAATCTGTAAGTAGGGCGGATATTGGCTATTGATAGCAAAATTCTATCGTACATATTAACAATTTTTCCACTTAATTAATTAATTGCCTTGAAATACGGGCTCGATAATAATCGTATCGATAATAACGAAACAATTTTATAAATCAGAAAATGATTGCGTTACAAATTATTATCGATCACTTAATTTATAATGCTTTGTGTTATTCTACTCTGATAAATAAATAAATAATATCGAACATAGTATAAATAAATGCGATAAAAATATAAAGAATTTCAAATACATATAATCATGTATTTCAAAAAAAAAAAAAAAAAAAAAAAAAAAAGTGATTGATTAGTTTAGCTCCTCAAAGGCTATACGTATTTCTATATGAATTATTAATTTTCTTGAACTTTATTTATGTTTTTAAAATAAAATTTGCCTTTGTTTTCTTTCTAATTTATTTATACATATATATAAAGGCTGGTTTCTTGAGACTTATTTATTCTTTTACAATTAAAAGCAATTATCCTGGTAATAGCCAATGTTTCGATTCAAGCAATCTATATTTCCTATAAATTCAGTTTTTTTTTATCATAAACAGCGAAGAATATTAAGCGTATTTTTAGAGTTTACTTTTATGACCAAAATATTAAGAAAAGAAAATTCGATAATATAGATTTCAGATGATTAAAAGAAACTATAAACGAAAACATTAATGCCCTCAATGGGTTAATCAGCTAATCATAGTTAAGACGAATCAGTAATCACGATTAACTTTTGTAAATTTGTAATCATTGAATTAATTTAATAATAATCATTTGTTTATTAATTTATGTTCTATTAGGATAAATAATATGCATACTTGCATATTGAAAATCGTACAATATCATATGTATATCACATGTAGCTTCGATCCCTTAAGTGCCTAATAAAATTATGAACTCTTGATGATAGTATTACAATTTTCTTATGTTCCAAGGCACTTTCATCGACATGATCAAAAATGTAATGAAACATGTTTTGCAAGTGACCTTTTTAGTAAAACCGCGGTGATATACAACCTACGTTGCATGATTCGAACGATACGTTTTCATCGTGTACTGAAGAATTTCGATGAAAGTCTGCAAATTATCCAGTCTTTTTGCAATACATGAGAGTGGACGGATTGTGTTAACTTACAAGAACATATCTATTATAAACGTAGGTGCTTCAGAATATAAGAGAAATATTACAAACAATTAAAAAAATGCAATCAATGATCGATGATTCTTAAATCGTCAAATATTTGACTGCTTGCTGTATTCGTAGACTACTGATTAATTAATAATTGGTAACTAAACTGACTTCGATCTGGCCAATATTAATCTTCGTGAACGAAGATGTTAATTTAATTTTAATTTCATCAATGTACATTTATTTTTTATCGGAATGATACGACGATGTGAAAAAAATCATTGTCTATATCACTATCTATATCGAAATTAATTTATATAATATCCTTCATAATTTTATATACATAACAAATTACTCATATAATTTTTATAATTTATTTATTATTTATATACTATTCAATGTAATATTATGTTATATTATATGAATATATACTATTATATACTATTTATTTATTATTTATATACTATGCAATGTAATATATTATATGAATATATATAGTAACAGACATACATTTCATTATACATATATTATATTTATTAATTAAATAATGCAAAAAATTTATATGTAATACAATTATCCATGTATATAATAATAATTAAATGATCGATATGAGACATTACATATATATATATATATAT